TTCTTTCGTTGCTTTGCTATTTAATAACTTGGAAGCTTTGGCTTTCCACCCTCGCCTCCTTTGTGAGGTGTTTCTTTCTCGCTTTCATTTTAACTCCAATAGTTGCCTTCACAGATCCACCGTCACGCCTCTTTTCTGCCTCCCGTCAGCGTCGCCTCCTCATCTACCTCATGTTTTTAACCATCATCACCTTCTTCCTCAAATCTACTGGATGTTTTCCTAAATCCCATTTTTCTCTATCAGAATCTTAGCCCCTCTTTCCCACCGCCTTCACCACCACAGGATTCGCCATCGTCGCTGCCAATAATTTGTTTGGTTGTGGGTTTGTTCGTGTTTTTTTTGGTTTCTTTTATGTTTTGTTCTACTGTTTGTTTGGTTATTTAGAGTCCATCAATATAGGATTGTTAAGCTTACCCTCTCTGTGGTTGGGATCTATGATTTATCTTGAACATTCTCTATTATCGAACTTTTATGATCGGCTCTGCTTCGCAGTACAAGCACGAGAACAAAATGTGCGTCTGAATAGTTTCATACTTTTCTCTCCTTTGTGCTTCTCGCTTTATTTTCACTTGTTTTGTCACGCCCTCAAAATAAACCCATTATATATATATCATTGACATGCAATATTAAGAGAAAACAATTCATTATCCCATTCATCAGAGTATTATTAAATAAAAACATTACATGTAATACCAAATTAAATGCCCTACGGGCTTACATTTTTCCAAGCCAACACTTGGACACAAAATATGAGTTCTAACTCTAATACAAATAAAGCCCTAGGCTTGATTATATATCAAATAAAAACAAATAACTAAAGATGGTCTTCAGAATCCAAAAGCTAAATCCTTCCAAGCTAAGTCCTTGGAGGTAGCTTATCACCTGAACCTAAAAATGATGTTCCCATAAAGGATGAGCCACAGCCCAGTAGAAAAATACTAAACCAAATATAAGCATTGAATAAAGCATTAGAATTCAATAGATGGTTAACCAAGATAATCAATTACATCATTTTACAGTCTCATGACAATATTGTCTAAGACACGTTTTATTTTCTAACTTTATCAATATGGCTCAGAACCTGGCCAAACTTACAACAGTGAACTATATATATATTATATTCACATTCTTCCAATGTCAACAAACAGCTTTGCTATCTAATAACTTGGAAGCTTTGGCTTTCCACCCTCGCCTCCTTTGTGAGGTGTTTCTTTCTCGCTTTCATTTTAACTCCAATAGTTGCCTTCACAGATCCGCCGTCACGCCTCTTTTCTGCCTCCCGTCAGCGTCGCCTCCTCATCTACCTCATGTTTTTAACCATCATCACCTTCTTCCTCAAATCTACTGGATGTTTTCCTAAATCCCATTTTTCTCTATCAGAATCTTAGCCCCTCTTTCCCACCGCCTTCACCACCGCAGGATTCGCCATCGTCGCTGCCAATAATTTGTTTGGTTGTGGGTTTGTTCGTGTTTTTTTTTGGTTTCTTTTATGTTTTGTTCTACTGTTTGTTTGGATATTTAGAGTCCATCAATATAGGATTGTTAAGCTTACCCTCTCTGTGGTTGGGATCTATGATTTATCTTGAACATTCTCTATTGTCGAACTTTTATGATCGGCTCTACTTCGCAGTACAAGCACGAGAACAAAATGTGCGTCTGAATATTTTCATACTTTTCTCTCCTTTGTGCTTCTCGCTTTATTTTCACTTGTTTGGTGTAAGTTTTGAGTTGGATGGACTCTTGTAAGTGGCGTTTGGCTTTCTTGAATGAAATTTTCTTTGAATAAAAAAAGAAAGAAAGAAAGAAAAAAAAAAGGCATGTGAGATGATACATAGCAATAGATAGTATAAAGGGTAAATTACAAATACACTCTTTAAGATTTGATTAAAATACGAATTGTCCCCTATGATTCTGGAAATTACACTCCACCCCCTGAGATTTTTAATTTCATAACAAATTGCCCATTTTATTAATAAATTATCAAGTCAATTAACTATTTTTAATGATGCTAGAAATATGTTTTAATTAATAATTTAGGTAATTTTATTATTGTATAGGAGAGCAATTATGCATTTCACTTTTTAATTAATTCTATTAAATAAAAAATTCTAACAATGGGTATTTATAATTGTTCAAACCACAGGGAATAATCTGTACTTGAAGCAAACCTCTGGGGATGTATTTATAATTTACCCTAGTATAAAAAGTGATGAATGTAACATTATTATTCTCCCAATAATAGAGATCTCCATTGACATCCTTCAATTGCAAATTGCTCAATGCTAGTAATATTATTAAGAATGTTGATAAATTATATCAATGATAGAACAACCTATGAGATGATACATAACAATAGATAGTATAAAAAAATGATGAATGTAATGTTATTATTATCTCAATAATAGAGATCTCCATTGACATCCTTCAATTGCAAATTGCTTAACGCTAGTAATGCTATTAAGAATGTTGATAAATTATATCAATGATAGAATGACTTATGAGATGATACGTAACAATAGATAATACAAAAAAGTGATGAATGTAACATTATTATTGTTTCTGTTACAATATCTCAGAGAGAGAGAGAATATTATGTTATGTGTATATTAAATATTATGTTGAATAATTATGTAACAATATATACAAGACTCTTTTATATAGGAAGAGAGAAACCTAAGTATGGTAATGGATAATATGGTATGTATGATAGGCATAATATATAATTACTATATTTAACAATCCCAATAATAGAGATCTCCATTGACACCTTTCAATTTCAAATTGCTTAATGCTAGTAATGATATTAAGGTCTCGTTTGGGAACAAATTATTGTTGTAACTTTTTGGTTTTTTGGTTAAAATATGAGGTAAAAAAAATTAGTATGTTTAAAATGACTTTTTAGTTTTTTTATGAAAGAATGTGCAAAAAGTAAAGAAAAAATGAAATCTTTAATTTTTTGGTATAGGTTGTTGTCTTTTTAGTTTTTTTAGTGACTTTTTGACTTTTAAGCTAAAACAATGAGTTGCCAAACAAGTCCTAAGAATGTTGATAAATTATATCAATGACATATGAGATGATACATAACAACGAATAGTATAAAAAAGTGATGAATGTAACGTTATTATTATCCCAATAATATAGATCTCCATTGACATCCTTCAATTACAAATTGCTTAATGCCGGTAATAATTATGTTGATAAATTATATCAATGACATATGAGATGATACATAACAATAGATAATATAAAAAAGTGATGAATATAACGTTAATATTATCCCAATAATAGCGATCTCTATTGACAACCTTCAATTTCAAATTGCTTCATGTTAGTAATAAGATTAAGAACGTCAATAAATATATCGATAAGTATATCAATTAGACTGATTTTTGAATTTGGAGTACTTTATAAATCAAGAAAGAGTTACATATTTAAATATAATATTTCGTTTGGTTTGATTTGCTTCATATAAAACATTTTAGAATTGAAATAAACCATACTGATAAAAGATTGGTTAAAAATTAAAATTTTGATTGTTCTTGGACAATCCACTTAGTTTGACCAATTTTTCTTACACCACTATTTATTTTTGTATTCTACTTAAAAGGCATGTTTATTTATGTATATTAATAATGATTATGCAAAAAATTTTATTTTATTTTACAATTAATTATACTAAGATCCTTAATTATTAACGAATATTACTTTACTTATTCATTTATGAACTATACATATTAACCATCTCAACTATGAAAATCATACAAATACATCTCTTTTTGAGATAGTATGGAAGGGGTTTATAAGAGTAAAAGTGTTACATTTTTATAATTGAAAAAATCAAAATATATGAATTCATTGATAAAAAAAAATGATATTCACTCATAAATGAATGTTTGCTATGATAATTACATACACGAACTTGTAATAACTCTTTTAAGCCGTCCTATATGTTTGTCATTGTCGTTGTTTGAATAAATCATAATATATTAGGCTTGTTTGGTTTGTGTCTCAAGACATAATTTTTGAGAAATTTTTTTAAAATTTTGTTTGGTTCAAATTTTTTGAATTTTTTTTCCAAAATCACTCTCTCTCTTATACATCAATTAATCACTTTTTCTCTCTTCTCTCTCATTCTCAATTATTTTTTCTCTCATATACATCTGCTCAATTACAACAAAATATCAAATCATCTCAAACTCTCAAACTTCAAAACTATTTTCAAAATATACAACCAAACAAATCAAAAAACATTCTAAACTCTCTCTCCAAAACTTTTTTAAAAAATTATCTCAAATCACAAACCAAACACACCCTGAATTTCTCAAAAAAATAAAAAATAAAAAAATAATTCATAAAACCTAACGTCTTAATAACTAAAATTATAATTTTTTTATTAATATGCAATTATTTTTTAAAAATTACATTGGGTGTAATTATCTTAATTTAGAATGATTTAAATAAATATATTTTTTGACTTTTTATAAAATATAAATTGAATATAAATTGAGTTTAAATTGATATAATAAAAATATAATATAATTTAAATAAAGTAGTGACTTTTTAATTTTATTTTATTTTATTTATTTATTTTTTTTTCAAAACATGCTACTCGAGCCGCCTTTGAAACCTGCAAAGATAAAAAATAAAAAATAAAGAAAGGACAAAAAGGAGAATCCACCGTCACGCCTCTTTTCTGCCTCCCGTCAGCGTCGCCTCCTCATCTACCTCATGTTTTTAACCATCATCACCTTCTTCCTCAAATCTACTGGATGTTTTCCTAAATTTATAAATTATGTGTTAAGAGTTTATATTTTATAATTATAAATATAAATTAATTTTTGATTTATAAATTGAATATTTTTTATTTTATTTAAAAACTAAATTAATTTTTAATTTATAAAAAATTATAAATTATATTATTAAACTAAATTAAACATATCAAAATAATTTAAATTAAATTAAAAATTAAAATAAACAATTTTTAAACTACCCCAACCAACCAGGCACAAAGCCTCTCTCTCTCTCTCTCCACTTCCACATACAAAACCAGCAACAGCCCAACACCACCACCATTACCATCTCCAACTCACATCACACAATTAACAGATGTTGCTCTCTCACCCAATTCTCATACCTCCTCAACTAGGGCTCACTTCTCCTACTTCCACCCACAATCCTCAGCTCTTCACTCACCACAAAACCACTCAATTAGGCACTTTCAGACCCAGTAATCAAGAACCCAAATATTTGTCTGTTGATTCTCTAAAACCCTTGAATTTCAATGGTTTAGGGTTTTGCAATACTCACTTGTCGAGTCCATACAAGATTATACAGTTTGGTTCTTCCACACCCAGAAGTAAAAAACACAATTTTTTGTCTCTTAATTCTCCGGAGTCCCTTATTTTTAAAGGCTGCAAATTGGGTAACATGAAATTAGGGTTTTATAATTCTCAGTGTTTCAGACCCAGAAGCCAAAATCAGAGCTTTTTGTGTTTTGATCCCCTGAACAAGCAAGAATTTTCCTGTCGTGGACTTGGTGAATTGAAATTAGGGTTTAATGGGGCGGGTCAGAGGAAAGGGAGCTCCATTGTAAGATCGAAATCAGTGTTGAGTGTTGATAAAGTATTGGAGAGTGATGGAAATGTTGGAGTGGATAGGAGCTCCTATGATGCAATTGTTATTGGGTCAGGGATTGGTGGGTTGGTTGCGGCAACACAGTTGGCTGTAAAGGGAGCTAGGGTTTTGGTACTTGAGAAGTATGTGATTCCTGGTGGGAGTTCTGGGTTTTATGAGCGAGATGGTTATACATTCGATGTCGGATCGTCTGTGATGTTTGGTTTCAGTGACAAGGTCAGCTTAATAACCATTATCTTTTTTTTCTCACACAATGCATTTTATATACATAATGCAGTCAGAGACTAACACTATGTTTGGGAACGAAATTATTACTTTTAAGTGACAAGAGAAAAGAAAAGAAAAGAAAAGAAATGATTTTGATTTCTCTCCATAAGGAAGAAATAAAAGAAAAGAAATGATTGTGATTTCTCTCATTCTTGTTTGGTTAGGTTTCATTAAGAGAAAAGAAAAAAAAATTATTTTATGTTATATTATCAAAATAATCTTTTTATATTTTCAATCATTTTATTTCATTTATTTTTATAGGGACAAAATAGGTATTATGAAAATAGTAGTTTCTTTTCTCTCCCAATCTCTCCACTTTTGGAAGATTGAAAATAAGGCTTATAAGAGAAATGTGTTTCTCTCCATTTCTTTCCATTTCTCTCTACTTAAGTTATCCAAACAAATAAGAGAAATAGATATCAGTCCATTTCTTTTCTTTTCTCTCCAAATCACTCAACCCAAATCACTCAACCCAAACTTTAGTGTAAGTTTTTAGGGTGAGTAGATTTATTTCATTAATGCAATTGTGTGTGATATTGAAGAATCTAAATGGTATATAGCATGTGCGGAAATGGAGAACAGGTGTAACTTTGGGCCAATTAGAACTGAATCAATTTAGAAAATGGTTGTAAGTCAGTGATTAACAAATATTAAATGATACATGAAAAATAGGCCCCTCGGTGTAATTCACTACTCTGCAGGCAGACACTAGTTATGAAACTATATGACCTAAGGAGGAACTGTCTAATGCTTGATTCCAGCAGAAACAATGGAGATTTCAAAATTTGATTTTATGCTTATGTTTTGCCCACTATGTGTGGTATTGTCAACACTTTATTCAAGTTCTTGAGTATGGTTTTTAGCTTGAACCTTTAGTTCAACTTTGGTGACCTGAAGGCTATGTATGGATCTAGGATTTGAGTAGGGATTTGAGGAGGGAAAGGCGAAAGTGAGAGAAATGTGAATGAAATATAAGCTAATTTTTTTCTCCATGTCCTTCGTCTTTTCCGTTTCCTATCCAAATCCTGATCCAAACACAGCGAAGTGTCTTTAGTGTGGGAATGGCTGTGGACGTCTAAAACTATGATCTTGGCAGGGAAATCTAAATTTGATAACCCAAGCATTGGCAGCAGTTGGGTGTAAAATGCAGGTGATTCCTGATCCTACTACTGTTCATTTTCATCTACCCAAGAATCTTTCTGTCCGAGTACACAGAGAATACAGTGAATTCATCGCAGAACTTGTCAGCAAATTTCCCCATGAAAAGGAAGGGATTCTGAAATTCTACGGTGAATGTTGGAAGGTCTGTTTTAACTGAGGTGAATGCAGCTTCCCTCAGGGTGTTTTAACTCTACTTGTGATGCAAACTTACATTAAGATTTTGTATACGGATTCAATAGATCTTCAATGCCTTGAACTCACTGGAACTGAAGTCACTGGAGGAGCCAATCTACCTTTTCGGGCAGTTTTTTAAGAAGCCTCTTGAATGCTTGACACTTGGTAAATGTTTCTAATTGTTTTTTTTTATTTCATTAAAAAGTGTCAAAAACATATGTACGCATTCAAAACAAGCCTATAGACCTTTAATCTCGAGGATTTATTCCTATAATGTGTGACATGGGGGCTTGCATGTGTGTGGACACTTCATTTGAAAACAAAATTTTAAATTCTCGACAACATTCAAAAAATTCTCAAGGGATAATTAACCTTCCATGTCACCCAATTATGTAATAAACACAAGAAAAATAATCATCAATATGTTTAGCAGACCTTCGTTCATTGTTTTTGGTATGCCGTAATAGTATATCTAGTAGTCATTCTCCTGTTTCTTGAGTTGATCTGGGTATTTAGGCTCCAGTTGGAATATCTTTTAGGCAGTAATACTCAATAGCAAAGTTGCATGTATTTTGTATTTATATTTTTTACAGTACAGGGAGAATCTTGGAACAAGGAGTGAGGAACTTGTCAAATTACATGAATTTATAGTTCTGCAGGAAATTCATTAATATGCAAAATGTATTGTTGCAACTATTAAGTTACCAATTTTCCCAAAAGCCTAAGCTATAAGGAAATGGGCCAAAAATAAAAAAAAAGTCTAACACCCTTCCTCATGTGCAAACCTATCTTGCACGTGGAGAGACAAATAGAAGGAGAACCAAACAAACAGGGACATAATACCAAATGCTAACGGAGAGACTTGAACCCAAGTCTTCTCTCAACCAGAGCTCTGATACCATACCATGTTAAGTTACCAATTTTCCCAAAAAGCTAAGCTGTTGGAAAATAGGCCCAACAATGTATATCAAGCTATTTAGTAGCAACAGGCAAAATTCTCATCTCCATTATTTCCAGATTTAGGGGTTGTTTGGGATGATCTAAATAAGTGCATTTTTTGTCTTTTTACGAAAAGATGTGCAGAAAAGTAGAGAGGTGATGTGATGGAAAAAAGATAAAAAGATGGATTATTTTTGGGTTGCCAAACTTGGCCTTAATGGAGATTATGAATGGCAAATAATTGCATTACCATTATTTTACAGCTTAAAATGGCCTTTGATAGGGTCGCATGGAGAAGAAGGATTCATGTAACCGAACCCATTTGATGGGACTTAAGGCTTGGTTTGGTTGGTTGGTACCATTATTTTACAGTTTAGTTGCATGTTATATCAAACCAAAAACAATATATCTGCACTCCTTTTTTTCTTTTCTTTTTTTTAAATTTTTTTTATCACATCTCTTACATGGTTAGTAAAATCTAGTGACTGTGGAATAAATACCTGATATGAGTAACTGTAATTGTCTTCTTGTTAAATTCTGGGTTTGACTTGATAGAAGTGCATATTATTGAACATTAGATCTACCTTCTCTATGCCATCTCTGTGAACGATGATTGACACATATTTCTAGTCTATGTTGGATGTTCATACTGCTTTCAATTTGTTTTCTGTTCTTTCATTTTCTCTATAAGTCACCAAGTGTTGATGACTACCCAGTAGCATCCTGATTTTAAATTTATCTCACATGCTATGGGTATTCTCTGCAGCCTACTATTTGCCCCAAAATGCTGGAGACATAGCTCGGAAATTCATAAAAGATCCTGAATTATTGTCCTTCATAGACGCTGAGGTGGGCTGATATTATTCTTTTGATCATATTGAAGGTTTTCCTTATTCATGAGCCTTGGGATCGAAATTATATCCTGTTTATCTCACAAGGAAGAACTTATCCATTGTGTTTGCAGTGTTTTATAGTGAGTACGGTTAATGCTTTGCAGACACCAATGATCAATGCAAGCATGGTAATCTGTCTTCTATTAGCTACTCAGTGCCCCTCTCTTTGTTCTTTTCCTGTTTCCTCATTTATTGTTTCCGTTAGGTTTTATGTGACAGGCATTTTGGGGGAATCAACTACCCTGTTGGTGGGGTTGGTGGAATTGCCAAATCATTAGCGAAAGGCTTGGTTGATCAGGGCAGCGAAATACTTTACAAGGCAAATGTGACAAATATTATAGTTGACCAAGAAAGGGCTGTGAGTTTATCCTTAATGTGAAATAAGTGATACCAAATTTTCTGCATTGGTTGGCCTATGGAAAAATGTGATTTTGTTTCTCATGTTATTTGTCTGCAATTTGTAGGTAGGAGTGCGACTGTCGGATGGAAGAGAGTTATTTGCCAAAACCATAGTATCAAATGCTACTAGATGGGATACATTTGGTTAGTTCTTACTGAGACTTTGCCAATCCAATATGATCAATTTTGACCAAAAAGTTTTGCTTTTGCATGTGAATTTTTTTTTTCCTAATGGAGACCTGATTGAATTGTATTTCTCTTATTACAGGCAAGCTTTTAAAACGAGAAGATCTTCCTAATGAAGAACAAAATTTCCAAAAACTGTATGTCAAGGCCCCCTCTTTTCTTTCGATTCACATGGGGGTCAAAGCTGAGGTTTTGCCACCTGAAACGGATTGCCATCATTTTGTTCTTGAGGTACTTGGTTTCTTCAGAAAACTCATTTGCTTGGTAATTCAAAGGATTTTAATGATGAATGACTGCCTGATGCATTCACTTTATTGTTATCCGTCATTATCTAGGATGACTGGACAAGTTTGGAGAAGCCGTATGGGAGTATATTTTTGAGCATTCCAACAATTCTTGACTCATCATTGGCTCCAGAAGGGCGCCATATTCTTCACATATTTACAACTTCTTCAATAGAAGACTGGGAGGTAAATTTAGTTTAAGATCTTGATTCTACTTTTTGTTTTGTATATCCCTTTCTCGTTCTTAATACTTCAGTTGGAATTTGTATATCATAATGTTTTGACTAAACAAATATCTTGTTTTTATCGTACTAGGGGCTGTCTCAAGGGAACTACGAGGCAAAGAAAGAGCTTGTAGCTGACAAAATTATTAGCAGGTTGGAAAATAAACTATTTCCAGGGCTTAAATCTTCTATTGTTTTTAAGGAGGTACACCCTCGTCCTTGTAAACCTTCAAGCAGTAATTTTGGACAATGTTGAGACACTTAAAACTAGAAATTTGACTTCAGTCACAATAGAAGTGGTATTTAGATGTTGAAGTTCAATGAAGTTTTCTAAGAAGAAACTCAATACTTGAAATTGATTTGTAGAACACTTTCAAATTAACAATTTTGGCTAAATTTTTCTCAGCCTTGTGATTGATCAAATTCATGTTACAAAATTTTAAACTGGGCCATCAGGTGATGTAGTTTTTCAAAATAATCAAATTTCCCTTCTGAAGTTTAGTAATCTAAGGGGGAAAATATGATTCTTGCTATTAAAATGGCTAGCCTTTCCTTTATTGAACTATATTTTTTACGGTGCTTGTATAGTAAAGTTTTGTGCCCCCTCTCTCTCTCTACTCTTTTTTTTTTTTTTTTTTTAAATGAATAAATTGATCTGTCTTTGGGATTCGCTTGAACCTCCTACTTTTCGTATGTTCTTGCTTTTGAATTTTGATCGGTGCTATTATGGTTGCCATGTCAAGAGTAATAACTAGAAAAATCTAGGGAACTTTGTTCTATCAATTGACACTTCATCTAAGCAAGTGTTTTCTTTGATTAATTGCTTAGTTAGGTACCCATTTGATGTGCCATAGCATGTTTTTAGCTATTTGTATTGTACCCGTCTCTGTAGCAGTGGTGTTGATGATATGATGTGATATTAGCTCCAATACTACTGCACAAAATTATGATGCACTAGATATTCAGAGAAAAATGTGAAACCTTCCAAAAAATGGAATTAAAAATTGGAAATATTAATAAAGCACAAATTATTACACGTATTTGGAATATATATTACTTGCTGTTGATTATATGGTATCAGCTGTTATGCTTTTATGAAGTATGAGGCAGGGAACATTCTGGAAAATTTGTGAAATCGTCTGATAATGGAAAAGACATATCGGAAGATGTACAAGAAAAACACACATTACTGAAGGAATATACACAAACTAAAGAAAAAAGATTAAAAAAGAAAACTAGAGACTCATGCCTTTACACCAATTTTCTTCAAATAGTCTTTTTTTTTTTTTTACTGCATACTATTCTTTTACCTTCAATATTCCTCTTCCAACTTTTGGATAGGTAAAAGTTCGGAGAGAAAGAAAAAGAATAATAGAGGATGAGACGTTCAAATGATATATTGAAATCACCAGTTTTCTTTCTGATTCAGTAGTCACATTTGATTTAAACCTGTACTAAGAGAGAGAGAGAGAGAGTCGCTTTCCTATTTATTTATTTTATTTTTTTGATGAGAAGGAGAGTTTATTGCTTGTGATCTTGACTATGGAAGGGTAATTGAAAAATGGAGGACAGTTTTGAAAGTGTAGTTTTTGGACTTGTGAGAAAAAGAAGGTTTACATGGGAGTGGGTTTTTTTATATTAAGGGGATAAAGATTTGGTATTTGCATATTTACCACTAACTGATCGATCACTACATCAATGAAAATGTAAATGATCTGTTATTTTAAAATGTAAATGAGCTGTTATTTTTGGGCTTTTGGAAAACAACAATGTGGCAGAACTTGAAAAATGAAGTCTCATCAAAATGGTTTTTGCCTTTGCGTAAGTATTGATAATTACATGTGCACAGAACCTGTCTGCCTCAAGATTTTTTACTAATTTTCTTTTATTTTATTCCCTTCTGATGAGCACAGTATACTAATCACGTTGATGTTTTCTACCATAGTGGTGGTCAGATCTAAGTGAAACGGAGTTTGATCCTTTCGTAGTTGTCACTGGCCATTGAATGCATTAGTCTGCCTAAATTTTCAGCATTGTCATGGGCTTTATAATTTTGTTCAGACATTTCTTACTATTGTTGATCATGACAGGTAGGGACACCAAAGACACACAGGAGGTACCTGGCTCGTGTTAATGGTACCTATGGACCAATGCCACAGGGCACTCCAAAGGGCTTACTGGGGATGCCATTCAACACAACTGTGAGTTGAATCACAAATTCACATGGATGGTTTAGTAAATAGATATTTTTATTTGCATCAGGTCTTTCAATTAATTACCATATTATTTTGGAACTTGCAGGCTATAGATGGTCTGTACTGTGTGGGAGATAGTTGCTTCCCAGGACAAGGTGTTATTGCCGTTGCCTTCTCTGGAGTGATGTGTGCACATCGTGTAGCTGCTGACATTGGTAAGCAGATTTTAGATGCTTCATTTGAACAGAATGTTTGGCTGAAAATAAATTCTTATACGGTTTAGTTATTCTAGAACCAGAAATTTTGTGTAATGGCAGCACTTTGCCTATGATTGGCGGAGCTGTCCTGGTTGACAAAATTGTAATTCTCTATTACTGTACTTGAAAGAGCAAAAAAATTTCAACTTCTTTAAGCTCATTTCTGGTCACAGCTGTTTATAGATTCCCACAAAGTTGAGTAGTGATAAAACAAAGTTGAATCACCACATTGTTTATTTTTGCTTCAACTTTGAATAGCTTCTTTCATTTAATTAGGGATTTTTCATTTTCCTTTCTTTTGTCCTCAGGACTTGAGAAGAATTCCCCAATATTGGATGCTGCTCTTCTTAGATTACTTGGTTGGTTAAGGACACTGGCATAATCACTACTTATATGATAGAAATACAAGAAACATCATCATCATGTGGAAGGGAAACCGTCGCTCGCATCTGAAGTGCAACCACCTACTGTAAGTTGAGGCATGAAGATGCTTGCTTTATATCCTTGAGTTAGTTGGTGACTGTCAATGCTGAATCCGGTTATTATGCAACATTGATTTTAGTCAATTTTGGAAATTTAAATCTTCAGTTGTAACTTTTATTTATACAGACTTCAGGCTGTATTTATAGAAAAGTTTTAGATTGTAATTCATGATTTGATACAGAACTTGTTTAGTTATTGCAAATGGTTCTTCATATAGAAGTAAATTGTACTGTGGTACTCTTTAATTCATGGATTGGAAAGTTCTAATAAATCAATGACCTTGCTGTGCTTAGTTTACTTGGGTGAATGCACCTTAAATTGAATTTGAAAATTCCTCCCATACCAAGATTTGAAATTTAGTTACAAAATGGAGGTTGCAAATTTTCAAGGAGGTGCTATTTGAATTCAACTTACTAAAGCCAAACTAAAACAAAGTGGAATGAGGACAAAAATAAATTAATATGTAGTAAGATATCACTTGCTGCTTCAACTACAAACACCAAATATGCTTGTAGCTTTCCAACTACTAAGTTTGAATAACTTCATGAAGACTTGATCAATAATGACCATCCAACAGTGAATTTTGAATTCAACATCAATTCTGAGACTTCCAATAATTAAGATATAGAAGTGCATAAACCAATTCCAGTTTCCAATACCAAGTGCAAAACTGAATTTTTGAGATGCTACCTGGATTTAATAGATATGTATGATTAGCAGTTGGTTAGAACAGATAAAGTACTCTCACAAATGTGAAGGACCTATCTGTATATTGAGTTCGAAACGTATGTAAAACCATCCACAAGGAAACTTTGGGCAGTTACATCCACGTACATGCCTGTGATAATATATAATATTCTCCTTTATGGTATTTTTCGCTACATTAAGGTCATGTTTGTTTGGGTGGATATGAGTTTGGGATTGGTCTAATAGTCTAATAAAATTATTAATCCGATGTTTGGTCAAACAATTGAAATATGGACTAATTATTTTAAACTTGACTATTAGTTAAGAGAGGATACATAATCCAACGGATTCGTAGTCCTAGGACTATTAGTCATGGGAATGCTAATCCAGTCCGTCTAAACAAACATGACCTAAGGGTTTAGGTTTCTTAGAGGTGCAAAAAACTCATAAAAGTTCTGGATCAGTGGTTTAGTTTCCAATTTGTGACCCTGTAACTCAGAGTCTTCTCAAGATAGCTCTTCGATTGGTAGAAAGCACAAGCTAGCTAATGTGCTCAGCTTTGTCCCTCGCTCAAAAAATCTTCTCTCCTTTAACCTCCCAGCTAGAGCTTTGTCCTTCGCAAAGATAGGTATGCCAAGAGACGGTAACCAACAACCATGGCCAGGAGGCAACTAACTTCAGTTAAACCGCTGTCTATTTTCACTCCATTGATTGAGTCCGTAATGTGTTCGTACTGCACCTTCAGAAGAAGTTTGTATGTGTGATAATTGAAAGACAGATAGCGGAGCCATGATATGAATACTGGAACTTTCTGCAACAGAAATATTTGTTAATTAATCTAAGTAGGTATAGATTTTTGTTTTGTTTGAGTACTTTCTTTCCGAGAATTAAAGATGCGGTAAATTTAACTTTTAAGGAAATTGCTTGCTTACCGCCACAAAGTATCCACCGGCCAACATGAAGGTCATTACTGTTACAGAGGCCAAAGTTGTTGCTCTCTTTAAGTCCATCAGTGTAGCCCCAATAGCTAGTCCAAGTCCCTGCCATTGCACCCAAGCTTGTTATGAAGCATTGTAGGAGTAGTATATGGTACCTTGTTGATCTTGTTAACAAATGGTTGCTGACTTTGTTATGAAGCATTGTAGTAGTATATGGTACCTTGTTGATCTTGTTAACAAATGGTTGCTGACTCTAATATGTTTCCGACTCTAGGACTGGGCTGAGCACATAAATTCATTCAGGGGCTGTTTGGTGCATTTATATGAGCTACTTATGTAAAACCCAAGTTTTGTATATTATTATTTTTGAATAGATTGGTAATTAAATTAATTTATATGGGTCACTTAGTAATATCAACGAATTAATTATGAGATGGCATTATTATTTCTACAACATAGGGGGGTAATTTTGTAATTTTGGAAAAAGAAAAGAATATTAGGTTAAAATTGCCATCATGCCGTGGCTTTGTCTTGAAGAAGAAAACAAAACAAAACAAAACAAAAAAAAGAGAGAGAGGGAGGCGTGGATGCTCAAAGTTTAAAATTAAAGAAAAGAAACCCAAACCAAGGAAGAGGGAGGATTTATAAGAGTGGTGGTTTTGCTTTATTCATCACTTAGGTAAGATTTATTTTATTGTATTCCTATCTATGATTTAGTCTATGTTGGGGTTCGCGATTTTGCTCAATTTTAGAGTGTATTTTGCATTCCGTTTGGGTGGTTCATATTTTGAGATTAATATGTGATAGGTTAGGTTTAATGGTGATGTGTTTGTGGGATACAAGATTGACTACAAGCTATGAAGCATGGGTACTCCAAAAATAGTGCCGTACGACAAACCAAGGAAGAGGGAGGATTTATAAGAGTGGTGGTTTTGCTTTATTCATCACTTAGGTAAGATTTATTTTATTGTATTCCTATCTATGATTTAGTCTATGTTGGGGTTCGCGATTTTGCTCAATTTTAGAGTGTATTTTGCATTCCGTTTGAGTGGTTCATATTTTGAGATTAATATGTGATAGGTTAGGTTTAATGGTGATGTGTTTGTGGGATACAAGATTGACTACAAGCTATTACAAATTTTTTCATGTATATAAACAATAATAGAATAATATGGGTTGAGAATTTCCGAAGCTGTGATGGCTTTGTTTTGATGTTAAATTGTGGGAGTTCCTAATAGGCGATTGGGTTAATTTATTCTATTGTTGTTACAAGAAGAGAAAGATGGGTGCACATAATAATTGTTTATGCGGTGGATCTTGGTAATTTGAGATTAACTTGGGAAATATTATTTTAGCTGTTTGAGGTAAGTAACCCTCTATCACTGTTGGTTCATTTTTATTTCTACTGAATCGTTTAAAATTATAAATATTTATTTATAGCCTTCATGTTCTCTTAAAATAAAATATGGGTCAAGTATAAAACAACATCGAATATTATTATGAAAGTTATTTGAATATTTTGTGAAACTATTCTGAAAATTGTACCAAATGTTTATTCCGAAAATATTGAATATTTTATTTAAAAATTGTGTATTGTTTGAATTTTGACTATCACTCTAGCCTGACTATGATTTGGACCCTAGCCAATGGGGTTTATTCATTGGCACAGAAACTAGTTTCTTTTGAGGTTTTACCACCGGCCTATGTGTGGTTCTGGGCCTTGTCACGGGCTAAGTGACCGTAGTCATTAAGACTTGGGTTTTGTGAATGAAATCATTGAACCATCTGAATATCGAACCATTGATTTGAACAACGAATTTACTTTGAATTATCTTGTTAGCTTTTCAATTAAATTGTATTGTACATTGTATATTTTTAGTTATGAAACCATCTTACAAATAATTGTCATTTATTGAATTGTAGCAAAAATTACATTTAGTGGTTATCGACTATTTTTTTTTTTTTTTTGTGTGTGTGTATACTTGATCCAGCTAGCAGTGATGGTTGATTATTTACTGGGCTGTCTAGCTTCCCCTTATTTTTTTTCAGATTCTGAGGAGTAGAGCTGCGCGAGATTTTTACTTGTGGGAGTGCCGAGAGTAGGACTATGAATTAAGTACTTAGATTATTGTTTTGTTAATGGATTTTATTAGTGGTCTTGGTGGACAATTTCATATGATAAGAATTATCAATTTTTATGGATTTTAGCATTATGATTATTACGGATTTAATTGGAGTATTTTATATTGTTGGTTATGTGTTGGACTCTTAGCCTTGCATGTTCACTTAAATGAGTGTGCGGCATTGTCACGGAGCTTGGGGCGTGACAATTATATCCTCTCTTTTTGTTTTTGGGATTTTGTGCCAAACTGTTTGTTTGGTGTAACTTTTGCTCACAGCTTATTAAGATGAAATAGCTTAAATAAGTTGAAACAATTTGATTATCTAGAAGGTGCTTTTGGCTTCTTCTTTCTGATTAGCAACTTTCAACTTACAAGAAGTTGCGCCAAACAGGCCCTGAGTCAAAGAGGTGTCAAAATTCAAGCACAAGATCTTACTTTGAATGTTACCATATTAACAATCGTTACTCTAAAAGCTTAAGCTGTTAGACAACATTGCAACTTTTTTGCGACATATTTATTTTGTCAACGAGATGAATAAAGAAGCATACCTGAGCTGCCACAATGCAGAGGAACACCGTAACCATGGTTAGAAAAAATGGACCAGCACTCTTTCTCAAGCCTGCCATGAAATAGACCACAAGAAGAAAAAGACTGGGCAGTAAAAGGTCCAGAGGAAGGTCGCTTGTAGTCCTAGCCACAAAATATGCGCTTAGTCTGTACATGTCGGCTGCTCGTTCCTTGTTCAACATGGCTCTTTCTTGAGGAAATGTGAAGATTGCTGTGAAGACTGGAAAAAATCCCCAGAAGACAGCAATGAAGAAAAGCAGCCCCGCCTGCATTAATGCAGATGTATATTATGGTAAAAGGTTCAGACCAAAATGAAGATTTCAATGACTGGCGTAAATCAGGTTTCTTTTGTCGTAGAACTATATGAAATTAACCATTAGCTTCTTTTAGATGGGATCATGGGATTCTGTGGAACCTTCTCATTCTTTAACTGACATTTTACATAATTGTTTTATTGAGAGATCTAATCAAATTTAGCCAAAATTATAGTATTTTCGAATTATAATCAATATGTATAAAGTTTGTAGTTCAAGTTTCTGTTCCCTTCTAGCCCTAGATCAAACATGGATGAGAGTTCTTTTATGTAATTAGTTCATTTATATTGTCTTTTTTTTTTTTTTTTTTTTTTTTGGGTTATTTTTTTTTTTTTTTTTTAAAAAAAGAGAAAAAATTTTGTGTGGGGATTGAGGAGCATTAGCTGGTTAGGGATTCCATTTTAATTGGTCAACTTGTGCATTTTCACAAGGCAACGATTGCATACCTGATCTTGCTGGTTTGGGGGGCTATTACCATCCGATTGCCACCAGAGCAATCCCAAAATGACCGCAATAGCGAGAACTTGTGTAATTCTCAACCAGCTAAAATAGTCATGGCGCCGTTCTTTGAGTCCTCTACAGAATAATATGGAGAACTGTTTCCACCAGCTTGTTCCCCATTCTCGCTTTGAAGTATATACTTTTGACTTCAGTTCTTCATCAATTGGTGTAGGAATCATAAGCTTCTTTTTCTCATTGTCTGCTGCTCTTGTCTCATAAGCCCCCACTAGATACTGTTTCCAAATGAAAATAACATCAATAGTCATAATCTAGCACTCACTGTACTAGTCACAAATACAAATACTCTTTCGCGTCATGATATACCATCTCTAAGGGCATAAAATTTTCAGCAGATTTTACTAGTTTTAGCTAGAACTTTTTAAATGACATTTGGTGCTTTTCATTAATATTTGAGGAAGAGTCATTCAATGTGTGACAACCCATCTTTTATGTTTATGAATTCAATATTACTTTACCTCATGAACAGCTGCAGGAGAGGGCTTCCCATTTCTTGTCTCTGTTTCTGAGTTTCCCATTTGCACTCTGTCCTCCAATTCGGATGGTACAGAGACATCATTTATGTTACCATTTGCGAGGTCTAGCAGGAACTCTGCTGGATTCATGGCAATTAGTGGGGAGCATCCAATGGATGAAAAATAAACCATTGCTTCTGATGCCTTTCCAAAATAAAGCAAATTTCCTTTTCCAAGAAGGATTAACTTGTCAAATTTGTGGAAGAGTCTGCTGGATGGCTGGTGGATTGTGGTGATCACTGTTTTCCCGCCCTGCCATGAAATTGAAACAATTTAGACCAAACTAAAGTAAGCCTTATGTCCCACTCAAGTGGGGTCGGCTACATGAATCATTTTCCGTCATTCTGCTCTGTCAAGGGCTATATGCTCAGTTTAAATTAAATAAATTTATATCTTTTTTTATTACTACATCCCGTGTTAATTTAGGTCTTCTCCTCGTAACATTTTCATTCATGGTGATCATATCACTGTTGCTTACCGTTGCGTCTATAAGTTCTCTCATTGTCTAGGTGATTTGCTGATGATTTGTACAACCTGTGGCCCTAGATATGGCATAGTGGGTAAAGAAAACTCTTGAGAAGTTGGGATGAAGATAGGTTTGATTTATTGTTATAATTTTTATTTTTGTTGTCATATATAATCATGAATTTGCTCATAATAATGTGAAATTGAAGCTTTGGACTTGAAATGCAATATACCTCAGCTATGTCTTGTAAGATTTGAACGATCCTCAAAGCAGTTGTAGAATCCAGGCCAGAGGTTGGTTCATCAAGAAACAAAAGAGAAGGGTTGATTATAATCTCATTGCCAATACAGACACGCTTCCTCTCTCCTCCTGAAACTCCCCGAACAAAAGAGCTACCGATCATAGTGTCTTGGCACCTGAGCACATTGATATTCCTCATTGATCAGCTCATGAGAATAGGTATGATTCATTTGTGTGTGGTCTGTTTTTTTCTATATCTGACTTTAGCTAACACATAATTGAAGATAATAGCATAGCAGAGAAATGAGAATTTACCTCTCCAAGCCCAACTCGTCGATTACGTCTATGGCTTGTTTTTCCTTTTCTTGTTTTGTCAATGTCTTTGGAAGTCGTAGGAGTGCTGCATATGTTAATGTTTCCCTCACCTTACAGTGAGGAAAGAGCACGTCGTCTTGGGTCACAAATCCTATCCTGAAATATATTTCATGTTATTCTAATGTGTGATTACCCTTTATTTTCACATCACTTATCTTTTTCTTTTTTTTTTTAATGGTAATGTTCAGGGTATACTTTTATGTGAACATTGAACATTCATATAGGTGAAAAATTATAAAACCAATTTCAATTAGGTAGGTTTTAGAGGAAATCTGTCTTAATCAGGCTTAATATGATGAAAGTGGTGGAAAGCGAAGGAAATGGTGGAAAAAAGTTAGAACTGTCCTGAGTTTGTTTAGCATAAAAGTGATGGAAGTTATAAGAAGGTAATTTTTCTATCCATCCCATGGTAGCATGGTAACTAAGCTTTTAGTTTCTTACAAAAAACACAGAAAAATACAAGAAAGTTTAAATTTGTTTATAAAATTTTTAAATTTCAATATCAGCGTGTCTGAGTCGTGTCACGTATCCGTGTCCATATCCATGCTTCTTAGGTTTTAACTTTCTTTGCATTAGTTGTAGTGATGATGAATTTCTGTGAATATATATAACAAAGGCCTATGAGAAAACTGTTATTGTGTATACTGCTCTTTTTTAATATGCAGCCACATAGCTTGTACAAATTGAAAGTGTTTTATTTTGCTTTATATGCATAAGCACATTACTTACCTTACTCGGACTGCCTACCGCTGTGTATATGCATACCAGTTTTCAAGTCTCATATATGTATATGCATACCAGTTTTCAAGTCTCATATATAGATTTTTTATTAGTGAAATATTCCTTGTAACCAAAGTTAGGAGTTTTTCAGTAAATTTCCTGAGAACCAAACACACATAAATACAGTGCTACTAGCTCCTTCATGTATATCTAGATTGTTACCTGCTCTTTAGGAACTTCGAATATGGCTGGTCATTATAAGTAATTGAACCTCCTGGTGTCGACCCTCTCACCCTGCCACCGAGCAGACTTAGAAGTGTAGTCTTTCCACTCCCCGAAGGCCCCATCAATGCCAAAACTTCTCCAGGATTCACCGAACCAAAAATCCCATTCAATATTTCTTTCTCCACCGTTGATGTCACTCCTTTTATAACCACCTTGTATGTCACGTCCGTAAACTGCATATTCAGAAGAAAAAAAAAAAAGAAAAAAGAAAAAGTCTCCATTTACAATATTGGCAGCAATAATTCCTTGAAATAAGTGTATATATTTAATTGTCACAAAATAGCATAGTAGTATTTGTACTGAGCATGGCTGTGTTTTTAGTTTTTGTCTTTTTTATACAATATACCTGAAAGCTGTCTCAGATGATGGATTTGAAAACAATTTCACAGTTGATTATGAAGGTGTTTGAACTAGTTCTTATGTTTGTTTCCTAGATGAATATTATTTTATTTTTCAATGAATTATGGGCGTTCTTGCATTGTTGTTGGTGGTGGTGGTGAAAGGAAAGTCCTGTACAAAAATGTCATATAAATAGGACTCTGTACAAGACTTAACCTGACATGATAGCCATGTTCAATTGGGTCGCGTTGATCTCTAGCTAATCTCCATCGTTTCTTGTCCAAATACATATAGTGGGTGTTTGGGAAGTGGGTTTTTATGTAGGTTTTGTTAGTTGTAGAATATTATTGGAGAAAATTTTTTTTCTGTTTGGAAAGATAGTTGGGTTTTTTTGTGGTTGGATGTGATGTTTGTGAGAGAAAAAGTGAAATAATTATGGGATTTGATGTGATATTTTTTTTGGATTTGTTTTTTTTTTATTTTACAAAAACTTTGTCTTTTAATGGAAAAAATCAAAAAAAACCCAAAAAAAATTGTTGCCAAACACCGCCATAGTATGAAAATTAATCCATGCTCTTTTGTGAAAATAGGGGTTTGTCATCTCGATACATATATATATATATATATATATGCCCTGTACATCCACACACACACACACACTCAAAAAAAAAAAAAAAACTAAAAACACAAAAAACAAGGGTAGGAATGCTATTGTGATGTTATATATGTTACCTTGAGATAGATAGGCAAGGTTGGTTCTGCTTGAATCCTCTTCTTGTGTATGCCAGCTTCAAGATCCTCCGCTGTAAGTAATCATGTTCAGTATTTATAAATTAGCAGACTTTTGATTTTGCTTTTCCAATTTTGTTTGATACACTAATATACATACATGCTCGTTTGATATTGTCAAATGTTTGAATTACAGGCATTCTAATTGTTTGATCCGGCTTCATGCCTCATGTGGTAATGAATGATTTTGAGGTAGAAATATGTGGTAATGAATGATTTTGAGGTAGAAATGCATACTTAAGTACCAATATGAAAGGATTTTGTTTTTGTTTCTATCTTGGGTGCTTTTAGTTTCTGGGACTAAGGTTAGTTAAGGATTGGGGCCATTATAGTTAAGGATTGGGGCCATTATAGTTTGGGGCATTGGGGCCATTATAGTTAAGGATTGGGGCCATTATAGTTTAGTCATATGATTAGTTAAGGATTGGGGCCATTATAGTTTGGGGCATTGGGGGCATTATAGTTTGGTCATATGATTAGTTAAGGATTGGGGCCATTATAGTTTGGGGCATTCCCATTTAGCTATGATTTTTTTTTTTCCCTTAGCCTTTATTTTCTTGATGTACCTTATTTGTCGAGTTATTAAATTTTCATTTCACGTGTCACAAAAAAGTCAAGAAAGTCTTAACATGGAGAAAGTACAAAAATGAATCACTAATAAATACAACAAAATAGGCTTAAGGGAGGGGCTGTGCCGCACATCACCTTCTCGTCTTTTTGTATGATTCTTTTATTTGTTTATTTTTGTTTACGGCGATACTACATGCACCAATTAGTGTATTAACTAGTGTATCAACCAGTATTATTATTATGTCATTATTGTTGACCCTACTTATTATACAAATTACAAATACTAAAAACTTTTAAAATTATATCACATCATCTGTTAATATATTAATTAGTACACTAATTGGTACATATAGTATTATTCTTTTGTTTATGTTGCAAGACTATTTTTGTGTACTTGTTTCTGTTATTGCACTTCAATACCCTCGGGACCCTCCTTTTCTAGGCTTTTGTGGGGGAGAAGCATCCTCTTTGTAGAAAGCTTTCAACTTATTTGGTCTAATAAATTCCATTTTTTAACCTCTGATAAAATGATTTTTCTACATAACATTTTGATGGGTCCAAAAATTAACCGAAATGACTAAGTTTTTTATTTGCAAAGGATTTTCTAATAATCAAGTCAAAATGTACTAACTTTTTTTTTTTTTTTTTTTTTGGAACAAAGAGAAAAGATGTTCCATGAGGGTATCATAACATCTGTAGACCCTTACTCTGAGATGGCCGCTTGACAACAGGATTTAACCCAAAAATAAATGGAGGGAGTGGATCGTATAAAATCTTGTTTCACATAATTTTGTTTAATTGTTGTCATTATTTGATTGTGATTTGATAACTTTTTTAAGAAACTAAAAATGTTTGTCTAAGAAAGATATCTCACGCTTTAAAATTTTGAAAGACACAACTGATGAGAAAATCAAAGGTAAGGACCACATAGTAGCATTGTTTGGTACAATGATCTAACCAAAATCTTACCAGAAGTGTAAACAATCTCAGCCAAAATTCGTGGTGGGTTGGGGGACCAGAGAAAGTTGTGCAAAGAGATAAAAGCCCTTCTCCAAATTAAATTATTGTTACCACAAGTTTCAAAACCATACCAAAATTTAGGACCCTCAATATGAAATAGACTTGGGAGCTTCTATTTTTTACATTAATTTTTTTTTTCACATATCATTTTTTGTTGAAAATTAATTTTAAAACAGAATTATGTATCAGCTCTGAAGCAAAAACTTATGATTTAAAAATCAACTTTTAAATTCAAAGTATAGTCAAACTATAAGTTCTTTTTAGGAAATTAATTTTCAAATCATAAGTTTTTATGTGATAGTTTATTTTAAAACTAGAAATATAGATACTGACATTTGAAAGTAGAAACTCTCAATAAATTTGTATTTAATTAACGGAACTAATTCGATTGAATTATTACACCTTATTAAGAAATCAGTAGTTTGAATCTCTTCATCTACATGTGAGTCTTAAATTTCCGTGTATTTATTTTTTCAATTTAGAAGTTTATTTGTACTAATTGAATAATGTATTTGATTTTGATTGTTATGCTTGTAATTCATTACATTTTATTTTAATACCCGTGTCGTGGTCCTGTTTGGCAAGTGAATTTTTCACCTTTTTTTTAAACTAAAATTCATAAAAAGATAAATTAGTTTAAAATAGTCAATAAACAAAATGTCACATCAAACTCATAATTATTTTATTTTTCCTCTCACAAATATCACATTCAACTATAAAAAAAATTAACTATCTTCCCAAATATCAAAATTTTAGCCTATTGAAATAATCAAAAATTAAAATAGTATATTAAAATAATCAACTTTCCAAACAAATCCAGGATATAAATCAAGCAAAATAAAATAAAATAAAAAGAGCGCTGTTGGGTAGCTCGAAAGTGAGCCGACTGGCTTGAATGCCAAAACGACATCGTTTTGGCCATTTTTTTTTTCCCATCGCTTTTCTCTTTGAAACAGAGAGGCCAGAGAAGAAAGAGGGAGGAAGAAAGAAGAGAGAGGGGGAACAGAGAGAAATAGCTAGAACTTCCTCCACCCATCGGCGTCGCCATCACTATCACAAACCTCTCCACCCACCGGCGCCACCATTGACCCTCTTCTGTGTGTATACACAGATCTATGCTCTCTCTCTGTTCCCTCTCTCTTATGTTATTCTTCCTCCTCTCTTTCTTTTCTCCCACCAATGCTGCCATCACTGTCGCAAATCCCTCCATCCACTAGCGCCACCATCACACAAATCTATATGTATACACAGATCTGTGTCTATATACACATAGAATTGTGTATAGATCTCTCTCTCTCTCTCTCTCTCTCTCTCTCTCTCTCTCTCTCTTCCCCCTGTTTTCTTTTCTTCTCTCTTCTTCTTCCTCTCATTCTTTTCTCCTTCTTCTGTCTCTTTCAGAGAAAAACAGAAAGAGAAGGGAAAGAAAAAAAAAAACAAAAGAGGCTGCCTTCAAGATATTCGAATCCCAACCATTCGAGTTACCCCGCATTTTCCTAATAAAAATAAGGGTTGGTTTGGCATAGCCTAAAAAAGACAAAAAGTTACTCAAAAAGTTAAAAAGTTATAACTATTCACCAAAAAAAATAAAAATTAAAAAATCAATTTTCTAAACAAAAGTACAACTTTGATATCATCTACGTGCAGCTGCTGTGCTGCGTTTGTTGACAAAAATGAAATGATTGGGTGTAATTTTAGATGGTTGTTGTTCGGCTCGTGGGGACCATCACGGGTCCCGTTTTGATAATCTGAACCGTTGAATGCGTAGAACTCGTCGAGTACTATATGTCTATAAAAAATCACATTGATCGGATATCGATAAGTGCATGATCAAATCAGTTATGTACAACAAATGGATGGTGTTATAATTAACGATTGAAAAAAAACAAATCTGATCAGGTAGCTATCGATATCCGATCAACGTGTTTTTTTATAGACATACAGTACTCGACGAGTTCTACACATTGAACGGTTCAGATTATCAAAATGTGACCCGTGATGACCCCCCACGGGCCGAATAAAACTGTCCAGTGTAATGCCCGAAAAGTAGCCAATAATTTCTAACTCTCATTTCACTTGTGCAGATTGTACGGCTGTGGCCCATACCTCTCCATTCTTCTCTTACACACTTTTTTATACAATTTTTTAATACACATTTTTCTATAAAAAGTCAAAAGGTTAACCCAAATATCTATATTTTTTTTCTCAATTTTTTAGTCCAAAAAGACAAAAAATGCACTTATTTAAGATATCCCAAACAACCCCTAAGACTTGTCTTCTCATGCGTGTAACAGCTGGCTAGACACAGTTGATGACAAGTGGATATGGCAGTAAATAAGAGTGTGACATGAGTGTGACAGTAGTAGAAAGGAATGGGACTGTAACCACAATTTGTTGTTGTAATAACCCTCACTTTGCCTTTGTCATGCTCACATGCATTTATATGATTTTGTCTTGTTAAGTTGCATTCATGAAATCCTGTTTTGTTTTATCTAAGTGTTGTTACATGCTTTGTTCCTTGTTTAGTGTGTTTAGCCGAGGTCATCTTAAGTCTAGGTCACACCTTTGAATCTCTTATACCTAGGACTATCTTGGAACCCCTTTAGTTGACCTCTACCTTTGCCCTGGCATATTGGCCGAGATGTCGTCATCTAGGCCGAGGTGTTCATCACCTAGGTCGAGATGCGTATCATCTAGGCCGAGATGTCATCCTTTAGGTATTAGAGATCTTTGATCCCTGCACCTGGTGATCTTGTTCCTAGACTGGCATGACCTAGACCGAGGTGTGGCACAGTTAGGCCAAGTGTTGTCTTTCCTAGCTGAGATCATTGTTCCCTTACTTGTCGAAGCCTATGTCCTAGCCGAGATCATTACCTGCCGAAGTGTCCATGTTACCTTACTTGTTGCTTACACTTTGTTATGCTCTTGTCTTATCAATCTATCACCTTTTTGAGGAGACCCAACCAGCCGTTGCCACGTGTCCCAGCAGAGGGTTAAGTCAGCCGGCAGAGTTAGAAATATATCATTTTGTGTCATATCTCTTGCATGGTAGAGAGAGAAACTCTAGGAAGAGGAGAGGAAGTTGGAGTGAGAGAGCTAGATCCCAAGCTTGATCTTTAGAGTTTGAGCCGTTTAATCCGTATTTTGAGGTTAGAATCTTGATTTACTCTTGTTATTCTTTATGTTGATCCGATTGCATTGCATGATCTAGCATGATTCATGAGTCATGCATTGATTTAAAGTTGTTTTAGAAAAAGAAAATGGTGTTCTTGTGTTCTTGAAAAAAAATCATGTTTTGATCTGAAAGTTTGTATCAAAAACTAGTCATTTCTCACAGGGCAAAAGTTTGATCCGAAAGTTTGTATCAAAAACCATGATTCATAAGGATTGGTCTTTTTAGCACTGTGAAATGGCCAAAAACACCTTCATGCTTTCCAAGATTGGTTCATATTAATCAAGAGGCTCATATGTCAAAGGGTCCTTTTGGTCATTTGAACTCTCTTAAATTTGTGTGGACAATAACGTCTCTCACAGGGCAAGAGAACAAAAAAAGTACCCATACAACAAAATAAAAGGAATGGGAAATAAATAAATAAATAAAAATCATGAGTTTAGGTAAAAAAATATATGGTTTTATTAGTGAAATAA